GGAAATCGAGGCCCCGAGGCGGGAACCGGAGGAAAAGGTCCTGGGAGTGCTAAGCCGCGATGGGACCTGCAGCAAAGCCCCGTTCTCCCCAGCGTGGGAGCTGATTCAGGTCCATGGGTCCTGATCGCCTCCTCCGGCGCCACCCCCACCCGAGTGCCCCCACCCACGAAGCTTTGGCACCCCACCCCTCTCCAGCGGCTCCTCCACAAGGCATCAGGCGGCCCCGCCCACTCTGGTTCTCCCCGTTCTGCCCTTTACGGGAGCCAGGCTGCTCTGCTGCTCCACACTCCTCATGTCTGCGGGACCCTGACTCCTTCCCTAACCCCTGCTTCTCTGAACTACAGAGCAAGGAGGGAGTCGCATCCGCGCCACAGACTGATGAGGACTCTCAGACTTCTGGCTGGGAATCCCCTCCTCTTACGACCCTTGTTCTGGCGGCAGCTGGACTGCGAAGTCTGCCTTGGATTCTTCCTGACTCTGTTTGGATTTTCAAATCTCAATCTGTTCACAGCAGGACAACCCTTTCATACACTCAGGCACTGACGGCCAAGGCCTATATGGAATCCTTGTCTTCTAGAACCTCTTGGAACCAACCAGGCTGTCGGCTAGAGGCAAGTGTGTAGAGAGGCGTATTGAAAGGCTAGCCGGGTGAGGTGGCGCACACCTGTAACCCCAGCACTCGGGGAGGCAGAGGCAGGAGCATCTCTGCGAGTTCGAGGCCAGTCTGGTCTACAGAGGGAGTCCAGGACAGCAAAGGCTACACAGAGAAACCCCCTCTCGAAAAAAAAAAAAAAAAAAAAAACAGAACACAAAAAGAGCCAGGCTAGACCCCAGGAAGTGGCCCTTTGCTCCACCACAGGGATAGTCAGGCAGGGAGTGCAGGCGTCTAGCTGGTTTCGAATTCGCCTCCCTTTGGAGAAGACAAATGTCTGCTTTCAAAGTGGTGCCTGTCGCTTACCAGGACTTGACTTCGATGGCCTGGCAGCCTCCCTGGCTCACCCTCCCAAAGTCTCACCCCTGTTTCCATTTCATGAGACCCTATCAGTGTCACAGAATTCGTAGGTCGGAGGGTGTGTGTGTGTGTGTGTGTGTGTGTGTGTGTGTGTGTGTGTGTGTATGTATGTATTTATGTGTGAGTGTATGTCTGTGATCTGGTTGGAGGAGGGAGCTGCATGCAATTTCAATTAAACCCGAGACCTCCTGACAGAGCACAAGGCTGGTTCACTGGCCCTCAGTTTCAAGCTCCCGGTGAAGGACCCTAGAACCATCATCACGCAAGACCGGTTCCTGGGGCCACCCTGGCACCGGCATGCATTAGCACATGCCATCCAGGGATGCGGTTATGTCTGCTTTGCCACCTCCTGGAACTTGGCCAGCAGCTGGTACCACAGAGGTGAGGAAGGGGACACAACTAAGCTGGAGCCTATTCTCAATCCGTCGCCTCTGCATCCTTGCTTTTTGGCCTCCTCATGTGGGCGCAACACCATCCTGCTCATTCTTGACCCACTCACACCCTGGAAACACTGTCTTGAAAATCCCCCTGAAGGGGTCACGGGGACTCACGAAGTAGTTCTGGGGATCCCTCCTGTTTCCTGATGCTTCTCTTCTCAGCCATCCCAATTCTAGGGCCCAGAACCCTCCTCCAGAAGGCCCCTGGAGCAGAGTTTTGGTTTTGTTTTGATTTTGTTTTGAGACTTGGTTTCTCTGTGTACAGCTCTGGCTGTCCTGGACCTCACTCTGTAGACTAGGCTGGCTTCGAACTCAGAGATCTGCCTGCCTCTGCCTCCCAAGTGCTGGGATTAAAGGCGAGCACCACTGCTGTCTGGCTGGAGCAGAGGTTCTCAACCTGTGGGTCTCAAACCCTTTGGCAAACCTGTGTCTCCAAAAATATTTACATCATGATTCATGCTAGTGAGCAAAATTACAGTTACGAAGTAACAACAAAAACAATTTTATGGTTGGGGTCAGCACAACATGAGGGACTGTATTAAAGGGTCACAGTGTTAGGAAGGTTGAGAACCACTGGGCTCGAGAGTCTTGCTTGGTACACTGCAGCGTGCCTTACTCAGGAATTAAGGTGTCCTTGCCAATGCTGGTCAGGAAAACAAAACCAGCGGCCCCTGTAGTCCACCCTTAGGTTCTGACAGGTGGCATACTACCACAGAAACTATGTCCTGTGGCCACCGTGGTCAGGCAGAGCCTGTTGGCTTCAGCTCCATAGGCCCACATGCCATGACTAGCTGTGCCCAGCCGTGAGAAGCTGGCTCAGGCCTTCCCAGCCAATTAAAGTTCACTTTAGTGAACGGACTCTTCCCCACTTATGTAGGCCTTTCATGGGTGCTGAGACCAAGCAGGAGCTGAGGCGTCCCTGAAAAGGCTTCAGAGGCAGAGGGTATAGGCCTGCTATTTGCTGCACAGTCTCAGGTCATCTTTGAAGGTGACAGTTGCCCGCCCTTCCTTATGCCCAGGTCCCAACCGTGGGGCCAGCTGGGCTGTCGTGTTCCAGAATTCCACTCCCAGACTACTCCCCCACCCCACCCCCAGCCCTTTGTTCCTGCCCAGGATGCACCTGCCTGGCCTCTGGCCCTCATTGTTTGCTCTAGGGCCAGCTGAGCCACATCAGGGAACAAGACATGCCAAGACTAGGACCATAGACCTAGTGGGCTCTGGGCCAAGGCCCCTGAAGCCCCCAGACCACCCCAAGTACACAATTTTCTGTGGGCGAGACTCAAGTTCACCCCACAAGGCAAAATAAGGACAGAGGAAGAAGCCCACGTTGTACAAATCATGATAGACAGGAGGGCACCCCCTCCCAACCTGTAGCCTCCTGGGAAAATGTTTCCTCTCACGTCTACTTCTTAACGTTGGGATGGAGAGTAGCTGGGCCGCGGTCCAACCTTGGACTAACCTGGTGCAGTCTTGAGGAATGTGCAGGTGTGTGCCTTCTCTTGGCCCCATGCTGTGAAGCGACAGCACTCTGCAGCTATTTGCACGGGGGCTTGTCCCTTAGCACCCCCAAGGATGGCCCTAAGCCACTTCCCTGTGCCCCCAGCCCTGGGACCCACTAGGCCTCCCTCCCATTAGATGCCCACAGAGGCTGGAAGTTTTGGCCTATTCCAGATGTTGGCGTCCACCCTGGGAAAGACCCTGGGGTCCAGCCCACACAAGAACCACAGGCAGAACACACCTGCTCGCAGCCATTCCAAGATCTTCTTGTCCTCCCTCTTCTTAGGGACTCAGTTCCCAAACCGCAGAGACCCCGCTGCCCCATTCCTCATATTAAGGCAGACACTGTCTGGGATCTTCTGTGACAAGAGCAGTCTTCCCAGGGTGCATTGGGCCTGGTGGTGGTTATTGGTAAACCACATGCCTTTGACCCTCCTCATGCCAGTTCAACCCCAAGAAGTGTGGCTTCCTCTCCTTCCATCTCCACCTGGCCTCCCGGGGAAGCCAACATGCTGCTGGCAGGGTTCCACCAGAATGGAGTCACAGCAGTCTGGGATTCCCTCTTCGCAACTCAAAATAGAGCATGGTGGCCACACTGAAGACCATTCCCATCTGACCACTTTCCACTAGCGAACCACCTCAAACAATACAGCCCCCCTGAGACTTTGGGAAGTGCTAACCCTGTCAGGATGGGCTGAAAGCTGGTGAGTGAGTGGGTGCCCTGCCTCCCAGAGGTTATAGGTCCAGGGGTCTGGGAGACTTTCTATTTTCCTTTTCCAACAGGGCTGCCTCTCACAGAAATGCTGAACCTCCCCCTCATCAAGGCACTGACTGGGAAAGGCCGTACCAGGTCTGTGATAGAGGAGGATGTAACTGTGGGGCTCCCGGCAGATAGGCTAGGGTACACAGGAGCCTCTCGGGGTCAGCATACAACATGGGGAAGGCAGGGTTGAGGGCCCCTTCTATGGAGGGGCTCATGCTGTCTCAGGGACAGATTGAAGAGTCACTGGCAGGATTAGCACTCCTCTTGCCATGCAGGAAGTACCCGCTGCTCCACTTGCTTAGGACACAAATCCAACGTTCAAATGGTGAGGAAGAGCTGGGGCAGCCCTGCTCTAACCTCTGCCATGAGAACTCCGGGTACTCGGCACGGGGCTTTTACTCCAGGCTTGAGGCTAGGGTCACGGGGGTTGTCCTCGGCCTCTGCAGGGTTGGCTCCACTGGAGGTCATGGCTCTGTGGGCATTCTGAGGACATGTCCAAACTCAGGTCAGCTGGGGTCTCGGCCTCGCTGGGACTCCAGATCCCAGAGAGCATCAGGCCCAGGGAGGATGGCTGTCGTGGGTACCATGTGCGCAGGCAGTCAGCCCAGAGACCTCTTCTGCATGTGACATGTGCGAAGTTGAAAGACAGCACTGCCCAACCCCATCACACTGGAGACGAGACACTGTGCACCACTGAGCAGGGAGGTTGGGGGACTAAGATGCACCAGGGTGGGGGGAGGTTGGGGGACTAAGATGCACCAGTGAGGGGGGAGGTTGGGGGACTAAGATGCACCAGTGAGGGGGTGGTGCTACAGCTCGAAGGCTGAGTACTTACATGTAGCACATGCACGGTCCTGCTGAGTGTGACCCCAGCACTGAGAAAAGATGCGCAGGGAAAAACTGCCTAGCTACTTTCCTCTAGGTATAATGCCTGGCCCCTGTAATTCTATACACCCTGAAATCCATCTCTAAACAGTGAAGACTTATAAAAAGAAAGCAAAAACCCTTGGGGCATCCTGATCGAACACGTGGGCTCGGCTGGGGGCTTCACTCCCGCAGGGACTCTGCTGTGGGAAGTGCTGGCCAGGAGATGGGATCTTGAGACCTGCCAGGTACCACGTGGTGTCAGGGCAGGCCGGAACCTTAGGCCTGCTGAGCCCCCATGGAAGGGTGCCACAGCAGGCGGACCTGCGGCAGGGGCACCCATGCCTTCCACTGCAGTTCCACAGGAGGGTCGAGAGCTCTGGTTTGTGTAAGGTCAGAGGGAGCAACAGAAGAGAGGGAGAACACATTAGGGAATCAAAGCATGACAATTTAATACATTCAAGAGTATTTACTACAACAAAATGACAAAGTATCAGTCATCAGCAGAAGCCCGTGACAGAACAGCAGAAGGGTGACTGGCCCTTCTGTAGGGATGCTTGTGCTTTGGGGAAGAGAGGCAAGCTTACATCTTGGAGCTTCCCAGAAAGAACGAGAGGAGATCCAACTATGACCGTTCTGGGGGCAGGGTCCCACATGCCAGGGCTGCCACCACACTCACCATGCAGTCAGCAGTAACCTGAACTCCTGTCCCCCCGCCTCCACTCCCCAAGTACTGGAGTTACAGGTGTGCACCGCCTCGCCCAGTTTATGTGGTGGTAGGGCCAACCCAGGGCCTTGACAGGGTGGGCAGGCACTCCACCAACTCTCAAATACTACTTTTAAGACATACGGCCATCTATAAGCACGCCCACGGGGCCAGCAGTGCTCTTGCAGGGTCCTATTCGAGAAGGAGAGGGCAATGGTCTGCTGGAGTCACCTGTAGACTTGTGGATCCTCACATAAACGTGGGCAGCATGGCCCTGGCTGTGATAGTGCCCAGAGTTGTGTGTGTGTTTGTGCGTGCGTGCACGTGCGCGAATTGGTCTCCTAGCCCACCATCTGTCCCTTCTACATACTCCAGGCCTATCCCAGGCCTACAGATTCCACAGAAATGTTATCTCTACATGAACATAGCCCTTCAGCAGCAGCCAACTTACTCCAAACCCTTTCAGAAGCTCAGGCAAACGTCTACTCTGGCATGAAGCTCACGTAGCCAGCAAGGGGCAGAAGCTGAGAGCTGCAAGCCCAGGAAAGCCTCTGTAACAAGACAACCGTTCTTCATGACATAATAAATAAAGCCTGGCCTTGGGTCAAACACCCTCACGCACAGTGCACAGGCCTCAGTGAGGGCAAACGCAGCAGAGGCTGGAAGCTCAGAGGGATTCTCTCATGAATAGCCAATCACCCTGACAGCTGCTCATCGGCAGAGCAGGAAGAGAACTGGCCGAGGAGGACCAGGGAGGCACTGGGACAGACAGAGTAATGAGGATCTTCTGGCACACTCTGCAGCCTGAGCTGCCGCACTGAAACGTTTAGGCAGGCTAGCTGAATGGGACTGGCCATCTGACGGCAACACACAGACACAGACCACTTGCTAATAATTACGTTCAAAGTACTTTCTTCTAGGTTCCACAGATACACCAAGTTCCCAGTCTTAAGCATTTTGCTTGAACATGGATCCTCACTCAGTCCATGTGTGGACTGGGCGCGCCTCCTGGAAGGCATTCCCGACATCCATCTAGGTATTGATGTTGTGATCCCATTTCAACTGATGGCCAGTCTTCCTCATGGTGGCTTGCAGGTGACAACCAAGTATATCCTGGAAGTAACAGGTCTTGACACTGTTCAGACAACAGCTTCTGTGTCAGGCACATGAAATAAGGGCTTCCTAGTCCCGAAAAGGGGCTGCTAAATTCCAGCCAGAAATCAACAGACTTGAGTAAGGCCTTGGCTCGTGATGTAGGCCCCATAGCCCAGGCACAGCATGGCGCCACTTCCACCAGAGTCCCCACCAACATGTAGGACACTCATGCAGGTGTGGGCTCGGCTGTCCTGGTGCAGGGCTAAGGCACTGTCTTAACTCCTGCCCCGGAGGGGCAACCATCAATGACTTGAATCTCTGGCTCCCTAAAGCACGTCCTCTTTTCCCCCGCTGCATGAATACTTACTCTCACCATGCTATCGCCCACATTTTGTGTTGCGTTTCTATCCTTACTAGAACAAGTAACTTTGGTAGTACCAGAACAGGAGCTCTTTTCCCCAATATTGCTTACAAAAAAACAACAACTTGTGACTGGTCTTTTCCCTGGGGCTGGAGGCAAGCGGCTGGGCACCCATTGAGTGTGCCACCTGCTTCTTACAGACAGAAATCTGCTTGGTGGCATGAAGACTCAGCTAGCTGTGGGCCTGTAGGCTGGGTTTTTTGATGCCTCTAAGTTAACTACAGTGGTTAGGATGGCCCTCTCATATGGAAGGGGTACTGACCCTTTTCTCTGACACAATAGAACCCAGGCCCACACAAAGGGACCAAGGCCAGCTCTGTCCCAGCCCTGGAAATCACATGGATGACAGTCAAGAAGTGCAATGGCTAAAGCTTTCACTAACCCGCGGTTTCCATAGTTTAATCCCATTTTCCAAGATGAGCCGGCACAAGCCTTCATGTTTTTTACACTCCAGGGCGCTGCTGGAGCTGCACGGCCTCTGGAAATAAGCTGGCCGTGTCCTGTGCTTCCTGCTCCCAAGAACGGCCATGTGGAAGAGCCTGGTCTGCAGTTCCAGTTCCAATTCGGAGGCCTAGAGCTGGGCACACTCCCTTCAGGGAGGCCAGAGTCGCTGAAAGCTTTAGGGGTTCTAGCTAACGGTGTTGGTGTCACTTGGTGACTGCAGAGGTCCCTAGCTGGTAGCAGCTCCTCCTGTGTGCTCAGGTTTCAAAATACTTGTAGATGGCTGTGACATACAGCATTACATTCTGCCAGTCGGGTCGCTCTGTGCGTGCCATCTCGTTGATGTCCTGGTGAAGAAGAGTCTCCATTAGGATTCATATCCCCCAGGCCGCCCCACTGGGCGTCTAGCCCCAGCAAACAGCAGACAGCATTTAGTCCAAGGCTTACTGCCTCTTTCAGTGGACAGGCCTCCAACATCTGCTCTACTTCCAACAGCCCCTGTGAGCACCCCCTTCCTTAGTACTACAATCATCCCTGTGCCCCTAGGGCCTCTTCTCTGGTCCATCCATAGCTTGCCAAGGCTGGAAGGACTCTGGTTTGGAAGCTTTCCTCAGGCTTTCTCGGCCTTTGCAGGCCTTTCTAGGCTGTTCTGTTGAGACACTTTAGGGTTCACAGCAGCACTGTGTCAGAAGTAATCAAAGGCTTTCTTTTTGAGCTGCCTTCTGCAGAGTCCTAGTGACCTGTCCTGCCCCAGTGTCTCAGTACCTGTCACAAGGGCCTGCTGTGACTAAAAAGTAGGGCCAGGTAGTCTGAGAGGGCTATTTTATAGCTGAGGAATCCAGAAATGTCACTGAGCATATGGGATGCGAAGGGCTGTCCTGAGAGACTTAAGACAGAAGACAGAAGTCAGTTGGCTTAGTGGACGGATCTTGACTATGGATTCCTTTTCGGGAAACACCTAGGCACTTCTCACGTGTGACGACACCTCAAACCTGGCGTACAATGTCCTACTGCAGTAACAGTGCTGATCTCGTCCTACACAGCTGGGCAGAAGCTGCCCTAGGCAAGCACGCGTCTCTGAGTTCAGAAGACACATTCATAGGTAAACACTGGCATAGCATTAACTGTGAATGTAAATACTTCATGCAGTGCCCACGGCTGAGGAGGCAGACCTGGCGACCTGCAGGTATCCTAAGGTCCTACGAATGTTCTGGTCCCACAAGGTCCTTTCTTGTGTGCAGAGCCCTGAGCAGGAGCAGGTTTGGGCAGTTACTTGCGCAGAGCAAGTCCCTCTAGGTGTAGAAGCCTCCCTTTGCACACAGATGCAATAGGCTTGTGGAGGGCAGCACGAGCCGACAGGCGCCTGTCTGAGCCAGCACGGGCAGGGCAGGAGGCTAAAAAGGCCCTTCATTTTCCACAACCAGTGTTGTGCACCATGAGCTGCATGTCTGGCCCCTTCATCTGGCCCCTGTGAGGAACTGTGGGCAGGGTTATACAACTCACAGAGCATCTTGTGGATTCAGGGTGCCCCTGGCACTCTCTACACCAGTGGCTCTCAACCTTCCCGATGCTGAGACCTTCCATTACAGTTCCTTATGTTGTGCTGACCCCATGATCAAATCCATGGTTACTTCATAACTGTAGTTTTGCTACTGCTATGTATCATAACGTAAACACTCATGCTTTCTGATGGTCGCGACCCACATGTTGAGAACCACCGCTCCAGACCAGCCAACAGTGCAAAGTGCAGTAACACTGACACCTTCCCTCTGAAGCCCCAGGCTCTGCTGACCACGAGGAATAGCTCAACAAGGCTGCTGGGCCTGTGGTCACAAGCTACTCACTCCCTTGGATGCTTCCTCAAGAGAAGCATTTTGTGCAGCAGCTGAGATCCTGTGAGCACTTTACACCCTCAGCCCAGCCCACCTGCGACCACTTTTCCTCGGCAGAAGGCACTGTTAGCCGCGCCTCAGTAAGGGGCTTACCAGAGTGGATTTGATTCCAACGCTTTCAGCTGCCTGGAAAGCCAGAGTGAAGTTCCTTTTCTGTAAAAGAATCATGTCAGTGCTGTGTATAGACAACTGAAGATCATGAGGGACAGGCATTAACTCCTCAGGGGCCGTGACACTATCCGCTCCAGCCAGCTACGGCTCTATCTGCTTTTTCTTTCCTCACTCAAGAAGTTGCATTCTGGCACAAAGGCCTAAGCTAACCTGATACAGACCTCCAAAACTAGAAGCACACACCTGTCAAAAGGCTATTCCCCCCCCCCCCCCCCCATGTGGGATCTTCAGAATTTTCTGTTGGGCTTGGGCTGCCATAAGGGAAAGTAGGAGACCTCAAGAACCTTTTGAGGGCGACACCTCAAACCATAGCCTCGGACTAGAAAAATGTTTGCCTTGTCATTTCTGACAAGTGGTATAGAATAGGTCTGAGCAGAAGCACTGGTCCTGGGGTGACAGGAGGCTAGCCCAGGCTAGCTGGCACTGCCCTGCCTGCTCATGCCACTATCATTTTTCTCTAGCACTTCTTAAAGCCCGTGATCCTAAATGTTGTCACCTGAGAAGAGCCAAATACTCCCACTAGAAGTGATGCTACATGGGCAATGGGTAGATCAGGGTCTGGCTGGCTGAGTGTAAACTACGAATCCGGAGGAACGAGCCAGGACAGGACAGGTTGTGGTGAGGCGAGGCTGGGGTGAGGGAGCTGCTAACGAGGCTCACCTTATCTTGGCTGTTCAGTTCTTGATACGGTATGTGGGCGGGGAGATAGGTGTGTAGCAGCGCGCAGAAAGCCAGCCCATCGTTCCAGCTGCTGCTGAAGTTTGTGATGTCGATATTCTGAGGGAAGAGAAAAAGAGGAATGCAGTGATCGTCTCAGGAGGAATGCAGGATAAGGAAGGCACGGGCTGAGCTCTCTGGAGGAACCAGAGCACGCTATGGGCCACGTCCCAGTACTTACCCTGTTACCTTCACTAGGCCTTTTATTTTTTATTTTTGTTTTTCAAGACAGGGTTTCTCTGTGTGTATCCTTGGCTGTCCTGGACTCACTTTGCAGACCGGGCTGGTCTTGAATTCACAGAGATCCACCTGCCTCTGCCTCTCAGAGTGCTGGGATTACTCCAGCCAGGCGTGCACCATCGCACCTTGCTTACCAGACCTTTTAAGGATCTCCCACCCCACATACCTACCAGCCAGATTACTGCTCCTGCCTGGTAAAGCCTGGGCCTGAGAAATAATCTCTACGCTGCTCTACACATGGAAAGGCCTCTCTAAAGCCCTCTGTGGTAATAATACAAACTGCCAGATGTAAGTGACAACCAACTGTTTATGAAATTATTTAAAAGACCTTCAAGCTAGGCAATGTGGCACATACTTATAATCCTAGTACTCAGGTAGATAGTGAGTTCAAAGCCAGCATGAGATATATAGCCACTGTAAGACTCTCAACAAACACCAGTAACACTGAAGAGACTCTGCTATTTGCTTGTAAGTTATGTAAGGTGCTCGAGAGATTGGCTTTTGCGAATTATCTACACTGGAGTAGGCTTTATGGTAACACAGGCCTTGATCCTGAAAGGAACCCCTCACTCACACTCTTCTAAGGGACTCCAATAAACTCACTGATTTGGTTTAGGGAGGCGGCAGGGGGCAGGGGATATTAGTAACAACACAATTCCCATCCTTCCAGCCACTCTGCATCTCAGAGGAATGCGCACACAAGAAAACACACTCTGCACAGGAGCGGACAGGGCACTAATGGTGAAGAGTGGCCTAAATCCACCGGGCTCTGGCACACGCTTTATGAACAGCTCCCAACACCTCACATCTCCAGTCTATTGCATGCCACTTTCAACTGCAGTAAGAGCCAGCCTCCGGAGGTAAGGAAGGGCAATTTCACTACGGAAGGCAAACCACCCAGCCTGAGAATCCCCCAGGGATGAGAGGTCCCTAGAGTCATACCACCACATTCACAGCGGTATGGACTGTGGTTTCACAGCTCACACTTCACCACCTTTACTCCTTTTTATAAAATGACAAATCCTAAAACCACCGGAGCTCAAGCTCTGAGCTGGGAGGCTGCCCCCATGCTGTCCAGTGTTGAGCAGATCTTCACGGAGCAGCATGAAGGCAAGTTCTCATCAGCGTCACGGCCAAGCCCATTTTCTTGCCCTGAAGGCGTGTGCACAGACTCCTGTCCTCTGTCCACCAAGCACACCTTGCCAAGTGCTCTGGCTCCACTGGCAGTGGGCAGGCTGACCACCTGCTGTCTCCGGCCTCTCCCATCTGCTTCACACTGTTAGAAACTTGTATGGAGAAGGAAGGCAGACTAAAACACAAAGGCTGGCAACCTGAGTGGATGTGGAAGGAGAGGTAGCATAAGCTGGTGGTGGCCAACGTGCTGCACCTCAACAGGAACTGAAGGGTGTTCCCCCCCCCCCAGGACCAAACTGATTAGCCTTCCTGGCCATTCTTGTCCCTTCCCCTCCCCCACAGTGTGCACTCTGCCTAACAGCCACCACCCCGCAAGGGGTTTCTGATGATGTCCTAGTCACCTTGAAATAAATGGTGCATAGCAGGTATTCCCTTCCCAGACATAGCTGTGTATGAGGCATAGACATACCGTCATGTGCAGCTGCCTCTGTCTCTTTTCCCAACTGAATCTTGGGAAGGCAGCCAGCTCTATCAGAGGAAACTGGGAGAAGAGGTAAGAAAGAGATGCGATACCTGCCCAAGGTTCTCTGCATGAGAAGACATGACAGGGACTGGAGCCTTTGTCTCAAACACTACACAAGAAGCAACTAAGTATTGCTGAGCTCAAGTTTTCTGTCACTGTCATTTCTGCAGTGCTGGGATGGGTGTCCCACAAATGGTAGGGCAGTGCCCTACCACTGGGCAGCCCACTCTAGACCAGTCTTGAAAGAGGAGGTGGGCTTGCGGAGTTAGTTCTCACCGGAGGGTGGCTTGCCCATGTAGTACACAAGAATGAATGGGCCAGGCCTGACGAATGACATGTAAGCAAGGTCCAGTATAAAATGAAAATTAAAGATCTCTTGTTCATAGAATGCCAAGGAGGAGGGTCTACTAAGGGCACTAAAAGGAGCCTTTCCATTCTTCCAGGACTTGCAGCTGAGTGACCGATGCAGGGGCCAAGGCACAGGCTTTGTACAGACACCAGGGCAGGAAGCTTTTAGTGACACACAGCGTTCTGTGCAGGACCAGTGGCAGTATCTCACTCGAGGTCACTCACTGCTGGAAAAAGACAAACCTCTTCTTCCTGTGTCGGTGCCCCCTTTTGCTCCCAAGGACAGAGGCAGTTCTCACAGGGTTGTGGACGTGCCTAGCTTCACTGCGCCTCACAGCAGAGGCTCCTGCACCCCAGCTGTCTGGCTAAGAACTGCTTCCTCCAGACAAACCCCACCCTGCTAGGGGAAAAGCTGCTGCTGCTGTCCTGTGCCTCCCTACTCTGCTCCTCCCCTCAAAATAGACACAGGATACAGTTCCTGAACTGGAGCAGGGGGCCTGAGGATCCAGGTGAGAGGTGCTTTTGTTTGAAACGTGATAACATTTCAGATCAAAATAAAGGTGGAACTTAGACAAGCTGGCCATGTCTTGAGCTCCCATCCCCAACCAAGGTGGCTGGAGGTGAGTAATTTAAGGACCATGAGGCCACAAAGGAACCCTAAGTACCAGCTTAGTCTCTGCTTAGACCTGCTCCCAGAACACTCAGTGGGGAAGGATGCCAGGCCTGGACACAGGAGTGCTCCCTGGAAAGTGGGAGAAGGCTGCCAGCTGCGAGAGCAGGTCTCCTGCCCCCAACCACTCTAGATATGTCACTGTTTTTAATGTTCATGGCTAAAAGTCTTGCTACTAATAAAATAATTTCTGCTTGATCTACAAAGGTCTGCAACCGTGACTGCTTGCAAAGGAAAAAAAAAGCTCAGTGCTAGAAACGGAAGAGGGGAAGCCCCCGCCCACGTGTAAAGCTCTTCATCATGTGGTTATTCTAGTCCAGTGACACCCAGAGAGGTAAGCAGCTTGGAAAAGAAATACACCAAATAATAAAAAGTCATACCAAGCCATGCAGTGGAGGTCCGAGTGCCCACCCTGCAGAGGCTACCATCTGTTCCCAAAGCTGGACTCTGAGTAGGCTCCAGGCTTCTGAGACGGGTGGGAAATCCCGGAGCTCTCAGTCTGCTGCCACCAGAACCAGCCTTTTACTGTTTCTCTCAGTCTGGATTCCACAGTGCAGCAGGAGCGAGCTGATGCTCTGTCCCTGCAAGTGCAAGGCTGAACACCCCTCTCAGGACAACAGCAAAGACAGGCGGGCCTGCCTGGGGACTGCTGCTCTGTACAATGTGTTGTCAGTTTACCTGCCCACAGTGGCCAAACAAAATGTCAACCTTTGGCTTTCCTGGCAAGTGGTATAAACTTAAACTTTTTGTGACTCAGAAAAAAAAAAAAAGAAGAAGAAGAAGAAATCAACACCACTGTGTGAAGCCTGTAGATGGGGGGAGAGCCAGGCCTCATGTTTCCTGAACACATAACTGATAGTACCTGTCCTGGGCTTCAGTAACGTAGATATATAAATGTCAGACCATCATGATGACAAATTTCTAAGCTTTTAGGAGATACCTGAAGAGTTCTCAAGTTGTCTGCTCACTACAAAGAAGGCAGGTGCTATCCAGATCCAATCTATCATCATTTACTTCAAAACAGAAAGTAGTAGGCCTGTTTTCTGCAGGCCTTAAATAAGGCTTCCTGACATCACCATAAAAACAGGAAGAAAAGAAAGAAGACTCGAAGTGAATGGGTTGGGAAGGGGGAGTGGATCTGGAAGGAGCCCTGTGTGTGGAGGGGGTAGAGTGGGGTTGAGGGTTGGGGATAAGGCAGGAAGTGGGGGAGGGATGATTAAATCACATTGTATAAAAGTCTCAAAGAATTAAATAAACAAAAAGTAAAGGGCTCAGAGTCCCCTAAGAAGACAGTGACAACCTCAGGTCTGCTTCTGAACATGGTTATATGTGAGCCAGCACCTGGGACTGCCTGGGAAAGGGGACCTGAACCTGGGTACATGACAGGAGGGGAAGGGGCATAGGTGCAGCTCTTCTTTCTGAGGACCACCCTCACCTGAGGCCAGGCCCTGAGGTCAAGCCTTGGCACTCAGGGGTGGTTGACGAATAAAGCAAGCCCACATGTGGACCTGACACCGTCCAGGCCAAAAGAGGGCTGCGAAGCAAAGTGTGGTTGAAAGGAACCAGAAGAACCAATGGGAGCTGGGCCGGGGCTGTGCTGGGGACGAGGACTGCTGCCTGCAGAGCTCTGTGGCAGGAGAGGAAAGGGAAAGAGGCTACAGATGTACCTGGGAGCTACAGTAAATCCACGCAGTGACAGGTTAGACACATGGAGACGTGCACACGGTGCCAAGGATAGCCCTTGGCTTCTCCTGGCAGAACAAACTCTTGCCTGTAGTGACCTTCACAGAAGCAGAACTCACTGGGAAGGGGGTTTGTCCACACAAGGAGGTGCATTTTAGATGTGTTAACTTTTAATAAGATATTCTGTAAACAGGGGCCTAGTGGCACTGATGCCTGGGTGCAGAAGTCAAAAGAGAGACTTCAGCAAAAGAGAAAATGGAGGACCATCCACGTTGCCAGTGGAATCACCAGGGATGATGTAGTGGAGCAGTAAGGAGAAAGGAGGAAGCCTTGGAACTCCCCAAAGCAGTGGTCATGCTGGGGGTGGGGAGAAGGGGAAGCCTTTAATGGGGCACGAAGAGACCAAACAGTGGAAGAGGAACTGGTATGCAAAGGAAGAGAGTGCTCAGAAGATAAGGGCTG